CGTCTGTGAAGTTAGCACCTCATTTTTTTAAAACTTCAAATTTCTCTTGAGTTCCCATTGCACCCCATTGAGTTCTATAGTTCTCTACCATTTTTATTAAAAGTTCCGCAAAAATAGGCAAAAACATCGATATCGACTTTTTGGGGTGCTAAGTTCACAAAACGAGATCACAAAATTTGCAATAACTATTAAACGAATGCACGTATCTAAAAACTTTATTAAAATATCTTTTAGAACTCGTGAGGTGCTATTCAGAACTCCTGCCAGAACTCCCGGAACTTTTCAAAATTTTCTGCTACCCAGAACTCCCACCTCACGAGTTCTAACAGAAATGATTAAGGCCCGAAGCCGTAAAACTAATATTTAAGAAACTGTGCCAATTTCAAGTGTTCACATTGAGATTTCGTAAATGTCCCGGAGAGGTGAAAATTTTGAAAAGTTCCGGGAGTTCTGGCAGGAGTTCTGAATAGCACCTCACGAGTTCTAAATGATATTTTATATATTCGTTTAATAATTATTGCAAATTTTGTGGTCTCGTTTTGTGAACTTAGCACTCCAAAAAGTCGATATCGATGTTTTTGCCTATTTTTGCGGAACTTTTAATGAAAATGGTAGAGAACTATAGAACTCAATGGGGTGCAATGGGAACTCAAGAGAAATTTGAAGTTTTAAAAAAATGAGGTGCTAACTTCACAGACGTAAGTTAGTCGGTATTAGTCCATTCTCTCCACATGCTCCTTTCATTTCCTTTCCTCTGTTCATTACATTTTTCTCTACTTTCTAAGCAACTTGATTTCAGTTGTCCTTGTTTTCTGCTTTGTTCTTTTCGTATCTATTTTAGTTTTGGTAGCGTACGTATATACAGGATGAATAAAAAGTCTGGAACACCTGAAATATCTTCAAAACGAGTTTCTTTTTGAAAGAATCCTTTCAAATGTCAAAGACTATAATAAATTTGTCGTCTTTTCCTATGTCTAAATTTTGTTTACGGTGGCCTACATTTTCGGGGTCAAAGGGGGCAATATATTTTTGGCAACCCCAATTTTTTATTCGATAATCTGAAAGAACACATTTTTTTGAGTATCTTAGAGCAAATTTTGAATTAGGTTGCATAAGAAAAATGTTGCGAAAAAAATTTTTTTTTATTCAAATATAAATGATTTGGAAAAATTTCTAGTAGGCGCTGAAACTAATTGATAATGCTTTCAAACTATGGCAATGGCATGAACTTATCGAAATGGCTTTGCTTTGTTCGTAGCTATGGTTACGTTGAATGATATTTTTACAAACAAATAAATGAATAGTTATTTGAACATTCAAAATTACTTTAATGTGACCTTAGTTAAAATTAAAATCAAATTTTCTTCGAAAATACATAATTCTACTGTTAATTTCAAGAAATCTTCTAAAAATGTCTCTTTCTGAAAAAGATAGAATTGAAATCCTTATGATGTGTGGTTACAGAGGTATGAGAAGAACCACTGTGGAATCTGCGCACTTTTCAATGAAGTACATAACGATGGCCCAGCAATATAATGATCCAAGTTGCGTAAAATTGTTGCTAAATACAGAGATGGGCATGTGCGCGACTTGCCAATATCTGGTCGTTCCACAATCGATGAAGATGCGCAACTTGAAATTTTGTTAAGAGTTGCTGATAATCTTCATACGGCTTCTCGTGAAGTAGGTTGAGAATTGAGTTTGAGTCAAAGTACTGTTCTCAATGTGTTACACCGACATAAATTCCATTATTATAAAATTTCACTAAATCAAGAACTACTAGAAGATGATTTTGACCGTCGACTGCAATTCTGTGAACAAATGCAAATTCTGTCTAATAATGACCCAATCTTTGCGAAAAATATTGTTTTTTCGGACGAAGCTATCTTTTCTTCAAGTGGAATCGTAAATCGACAAAATTGCAGATATTGGGCCTTAGGTAATCCCAGGCGGATGTAGAAGACTCATACACAGTTTCCAAGAAAAGTTAATGTTTGGGCTAGTATAGTGAGAAACAGAATATTGGGGCCATTTTTTTTATGAAAATCTGACAGGCGCTAGATATTTGCAATTTTCACAGGAAGATGTGGTTCCAACACTAATAGCCATATACCCAGATGCAGATCAACCGGACAAATTCGATAAACAACTATGGTTTCAGCAGGACGGCACACCACCTCATTATGCCCTTCTCGTTCAAACGTATTTGGATGATATTTTTCCGAAAAGATGGATAGGTGGACGTGGGTTTTTAGAATGGCCACCTCGTTCCCCAGACTTAACTCCCTGGATTTGTTTAGGGTTATTTAAAGAGTAAGGTATACGTTAATAAACCCGCGAACATCGACGATTTAAAGGTACGAATTCGGCAGGAGATAAGAAAAATTGAACCAGACATAATTAATAGAGTGCAAGATGAGTTTATTTTTAGGTTAGGGCACTGTCAAATATAAATCGACAACAGTTTGAGCATCTTATTCATTGACATTTTCTGTTTTGTTTTGCATGTAAAT